CCTTGATAAAAAAAAAAAGAGTTGCAAGGCGGCCTTCAGCACAATCTTCCGTGCAACCATAAAATCCTCATTTTCCATCGTTTTTTTTGCAAGATCTCTGGCCCTAATGGCCTTTTCATTATTTCACTCGATCACTAATAAAAAAATATGGATAATCGCAAAAATCCCTAAGAAGATATAAACGCAGAACAATTGAACTCATAAATATTAAAAAAAATGCTGAAATGAACCCCACGACACTTTCCTAATTGGAAAATATCAACTAGGAAGAGAGGTGTCCCATTAAATTCTTACAATCTTTAATCTAATAACACTCCAAATACGCACATAGCCACAATTTGATTTGGATAAAAATCATTTTTTTTGTAAATTTCAAAGTTGATGGATCGTGTGGTTGAAATATTATGAAACTCGTAAAATGTGATTAAAATTAATTGATGACTTTGACTAAGATTTTAACGAAACTTTAGTATACTAGTTTTGAACACGTTCATTCACATCTTTTGCATAAGTTAAATATTAGATTTGTACACGTGTATTGCACGTCTTATTTAAGATAAATAATATATTTTATACCTCCTATATGTCAAGTGAAAAAGATATTCTACCATAATTTTGTTGTTAAAGCATCTTCAATATATCCTCTAAACACATTATACTCTTTATTTTAGAGAGTTCGTGCTTAAAAATAAGTTCCAAGAGATTCTCTATTTTGATTTTTTAAATTATTCAAATTACATTTGAATTGATTGGCCTAATTGTGTTAAACAAGATATTAAGTAAGAGAGTCAATTTCCAAAAACGCTTTCTGATTAATGTCTCTTTAGCCTTTTGCTAAATTTTGAGAACACTACGTACCAGATTTTTTCATCCCATATGCCCTTTTCTCAGTAGAACAATGCACATTACAAGCTACGATCATGCATGAAATGTTCTCCAGATCAAGACAATATCAAGATAGAGCTGCAAGGCCTTCATCACAATCTTCTGTTCACCCATGAAGTCCTCATTTTACATCTTTTTTTGTGCAATATCTCTGGCCTAATTACATCTTCATTGTTAATCCATCTCTAATCCAAAATATGGAGAATCGCTTAAATTCCATTGATGGTATACAAGCAAAACGGCCAAACTAATAAATATTAAATGAAATGCTGAAGTGAACCCCATGACAGTTTCCTAATAGGAAATTATCAACTTGCCAGAGATAGAAGCGTCCCATAAATTTCATACAATCCCCAACATAACACTCCAAACACACACATAGCCACCGTTTCATTTGGATAAAGATCAGATTTTTAATAGATTTCAATAGGGGTGGGCGCGGGTCCGTTCGGTTCGGTTCTCTTTAGAACCGAACCGAATCAAAATTTTCGGGTATCTAGTAAATGGAAGAGAATCGAACCGAACCAAAATTTTTGGGTATCTAGTAAATGGAACCGTCGGGTTCAAATATAATTATGGAACCGTTCAGGTTCGGTTCCGTTCGGTTCGGTTCGATTCCGTTCGATTCTGTACTCTAAGTAAATTTTTTAACATTTATAACAACATTATATAAATACAACTAATGATATATTCAATGGTTTTGGAATGCCATAAACTAGTAGACTACCTTGTTCAAATAATCGCTACGGTCAAAGTTTCGGTCGGCGGAGGTCAAAACTTCGATCGGAGGTCACAACATTGGCCGATGATTGTATATGTTTTGAAATGTCAGCGAGGCTGCGAGAGTGAGTGCGAGAGTCGAGACAACGTTATGTACTTTAGTGTAGGTGTTTAGAGTTATTTAGTGGATTGGATCTTGTCGGGCTAAGAAATGAAACAATAAAATGGGTAATGGGGCTAAAAATTAGAAATGAAATAAGTTATTGGGCCAAAAATTTGGATTTATAAATTGTTAATTTGTTTAGAAAAAATTAAAATTAAAATAATTTAATTTACTCAATATAAAAAAAATTAGAAATATTCGGTTCTTATTCGATTCTTCGGTTCTTGGTCTAGAACCGAGAATCGAACCGTACCCGTTGATTCTCAATTCAGATACCCGTTCGAGTATTTAATTTGACAAGAACCGTCGAGTTCAGTTCAGTTCGATTAAGTTCGGGTTCGGTTCAGTCGGTTTGGTTCGGGAGATTTGCCCAGCCCTAGATTTCAAAGTTGATGGATTATGTGGTTGA